TTATGGTCCAACTACTTCATGGCCTTGAGCTGTATGAAGCCACCATCACCATAGAAGGAAGCTCCCGATGCCATTTCTGTTTGTGTCTGCAGCAGAATCTGCAAATTTAAAGCACCTTTGTTTCATTAAGTGTAGCATGACCAGCCTTGCTCTAATTCGAGTCTACACAGTTTGTGATTTTTTTCCGTCGAGTACTGGATCTTCACTGCAAGGCTGCTCGACACCCCTGATTGAACAGATAAATCAATTTGATTTCAATGTATTTTTTTATTCTACGTTTTGGTGCTTCTGCTAGAATCAGGCACTTTGCATAAACCACTGTTATCTTATTTTTTGGTTTGTTTGTTTATTAGGTTTTTTTCTTGTTGTTTTTTTTTTTTCTGTTGCTTTTTCTCTTCCTCCGGTGCTGTGCTCACTCTTGCAGCCCTAAGCACAGCCTGCCACGACAAGGAAAATAGGTTGCCCATCCTTGTATAATTTATATTATGGTTAATGAAAGCTGGAGTCTGTTCAGGCGTCGCTCAAACATGGTTCAGTCAGTGAAGAATTTAATGCGTGAGGCATCATAAAGTAGTTCCTGTAACATTATTTCACAAGGTGTTTATTGGTGAGGAAAAACAGAGAAAGGCATCGATGCAAAAATGTCTTCTCCTTTTTTTTATATTTAAATAGATTTGACATTTCTATTAATCAAGACAACTTAAAGTCAAATAAAAAATTTAAATGAGCATTTACTTGTAGAAAATTGTATTTAATCTAAATCTTTTAGGTATATTTTTAAGGCATTACTTTTCATGAAAATGTGACAAAATAAAACCAGTGACGCATATTTAGCTAACTTGTTCCTCTTGCATATCACTTCATAATTTCTAACTATGAGCCTTTTTTCTTAGTCAAACAGAACCTGGGTGATTTTTATTTCAGTGCAACATAAAACCGCAATGGCCTCCTAATAAAGTAGTACAATGTCATCCATCTAAAGCATATAATTTTGCCCACAAGACATCTACAGACAATAATCACTGTGATTTAAATTAAATGTTTTGGAGAAGTTACAGTTTTAATGCACTTTTGAATATATTGTTTGTGCTTTACTGTAGAATAAATCAGGACAACCTCTTAATTGAGAAGTGTTTGTTGATCAGAGACGTATGACATAAAAAAAAAGAAAAGAAGTATACTGACTCGACCTGTAGACCTGTCGCGATAAACAATAAATCAATTAATCGCATGATAAATTACAATTATCAGCCTCATTTTCATTTATCGGCTTTATCATTTCTTTGTGTTTCTCTTTCTACTGAAGACACTGGATGATAAAAGGCTCAACTCCGGTGCTCTTCAATGACCCCTCCCTTTCTCTTTTCTCTTTAAAATCCATTTTAACCAGCCAAAATCACATTTGTGGATTGTTAAAAGCAGCTAAGCTACGAGCTAAGCTAACAGGCCGACCTTGGG